TTCATTGAATTAGGTCCAAATTTTCCATACACCAGTTGACATCGTCCCCTCCATACATCCACCCTACAATAAAAAGAAAAATTAAAATTAGGTAGAAGCAAAAAAAAGTTTGAAAAAAAAGAACAAAAAAAACAAGGGTTATTTATGATCTGAAATTGAATACCATGAGCAAGGTATTTATATTGAATAGGAGGCGGTGCATGATTTAGGGTTTCTAAATTTTTCGACGATAAATACAAAAAAAGAAATATTTGTAAAACTGCCATTTATTCATTGTTATCCATGTTTATTTAAAATAATATTTACTTTTTTCCGTAAAAATATGGAATAATAATAAGCAAATCACTATCATAATAATAAATATTTGTAAAACTGCCATTTATTCATTGTTATCCATGTTTATTTAAAATAATATTTACTTTTTTCCGTAAAAATATGGAATAATAATAACTATTTTAGATTTACTACTATATCTGATACTATCTTATAAAATATATTAAAATTTAAGGGAAAATTCCTTTCTGTTTCAAAAATAAGGCGGAACAATAATATAATTTTTGATTTACAATAGATAGACATGCATGGCATCCATATGCGTCATGTCACGCTGATCCATATTTTTTTCCAAAACTCGATCTAATTGCTATTATGTGCAAAAATCACCGCCGTTCACGTTCATGTTCACGTTAGCACTCCATACCTTAATTCACATATAAACCTCTCTGCCTATCTCTGACTTCAGCTCTCTCATCTTCGAGTCTCCCCAAGAAAGTTTTGACACCACACCAACATTTCATTCGTCAAAATTAAATCGAGTTTGCACAAGGTTACAACCGATTAATAGGTGGTCTTCTACCTTCTATTTACGATTTTATGCTATGAATATATGTTTTTGTCAGGGTTCAAGTCAATCTCCGGATTAGAGACTTATAATCATCCGACGAACAATACGATGGCGTGATAACCGTTTCTAAATTGGTGGGTTCTCTTTCATTGATCTACATATTATTTTTTTGTTCGTTTTTTTTTTCCAAATATTTAGATTGAAACGACGACGAACACGACGATCATACCAAAAATTTCATCTATTCCGGTACGTTTGATCTTTATTTTAATTAGTTTAACAATTAATAGCCGTTTACGATTAATTTCGGATATATAAATCTTATTAATTTGAGTAAGGTTAGAATAGTATTCTTTTATGTTTATATTAATGCTCCGATTAATAATTTTCGGATATTTGACATTATCATCTTAAATATATCAATATTATAATAAATATTTTCCTTTTCCGATTTTTTTTTTTGGTATAATTCCTTTTCCGATAAATTATGAAACAGATCTGTTTACACAAAAGGTAAAAAAGAAAAAAAAAAAAAAAAAAAAAAAACCCCATCAACCGTCTCCATTCACACGTTTCTTCATTATGATCACGAATTCACGTTCATGGAAGCTTCATCATACATTAACACTTACAAGTTTCTTCGTCAAGTTTTTGTCCAAGGTTTCTTCGTCAACTCTGTATCCAAGGTAATAAATATTTGTTCTTTTCATTGGTTAGAATTATAGGGTGCAGGATAGTATTGACGTCTTAAAGACATAACATGGTTAATTATCATGTTTATTGTTTCCAAAATTATTTTTTCCTGGTTAATTCCGAAATTCAATTTAATTTTTCTAAAATTAATTAGATTTCATTAAGGGTAATTAAGTAATTACGTAAAATCAAGGACTCAACAAGAGCCGAGAGTCCGACACGTCAGCAAAAACACTTCTCAAATATTGTTATATATAGAATATAGATATCTACTAGGTGAAAATAAAACTTTCTTCTCTTAACTATCTATACTAGTATTTTTGCAACACTTTGGTGACGGATGGATAAAAATGCTTCCGGGTTAATCGGATATCCGACCCGTTTTTTAAAATCCTTCACAAAAAATTTGTTGGATCGGGTTATATTTAAGCCAACTCATACATCGGATATTCCATATTTAATAATTTAGATAAAGATTTGATTAAGATTTAAAATTATGATTCTCCTATCATCTTTGTTTAATTTGTTTTTAACTGTTTTGAATCATCATATAATACATATAGTAAAAAAAAAATCAATTTTTTTTCTACATATACTGTGATTCGAAATTTTAAAAACGGACATATATTATCTAATTGACGAAAATGTGTGTTCAACGTTCTACATCGATTAAAATATTTAGACAATGATTCAGAATCATATCATAAATAAGATCAACATTAATAAAATAAATGAGTTTTTTTGCCGGACGGGTTTGGCGGGACGGGTTTTTAAATCAACAATAATAAAAAGATTAAAATATCATTAATCCGCCGCTTCAATACGGATTAAATCCTTTTTTTTAATACCACCAATATTAGACATATTAAATCAGTCTCATTTAGAAAAGATTGTATAAAACCAAAAATTGTCCGTAGTATAATGTTACTTAATAACAATATTTATAAAATTTTAAATATCATTAACATGCCGCTTTAATACATATTAATTTTTCAGTTTATTAAAATATAAATGTCTTAGAGAATGATATAATTTGTAAACTTTTATATATAATAAATAATCATTAAATTTTAAAATAAAAACAAATCACGGGACAGGTTAAGAAATTACGGAACGAGTTATATTTAGGAAAAGATTTATATGGCGGACGAATTTGAATCAATATTTATATACCGCTTTAATATGGATTAAATCCTCAGTTTATTAATAATTGTCTCGTGGATTCGTTGTATATCGTTACTTAATAACAATTGTAAACTATAATATAAATAAATATGTTATAAGGAAATACAATTTACAAAATATTTTTATACTAACTTTAAAATTAAATCATCCCGCGGTGTACCGCAGGTTAAAATCTAATTTACCAATATAATTGTATGAAATATAAATATAAAATTTAAAGTTTTAGTTCTAAACAACGTATTTTCTTTCTATACGTTTTAAATTAAAATTTCAGATCATTAATACTTAATATTATTTTTAATCTTATTTCGTTTCGAAAGAGCTCCAACTCCATTGTAGGAAACACTTATTTTCTTCGTCAAATCTTTTCTAATAGCCTGAAACAACATACTCTGACTATGACCATTTATCGACCAAACTCATAATTAACTCACACTATTTCTTCACACAAAACTTGATTTTCCAGCCAGTTACATTTTTCAGTTTTTCTTTCTAAGTGGGAGAGTGATCAAAAGGATAACACATTTTTGTCCTCCCGAATACTTAAAACCATTTTTGTAGAAAATTTGTTTGTTTGACCAACCTTGGGCTTTGTTACCATATTAGGAATGTGACCTAAATTAACCCAAAAGCTAGCTCAAAAATTAAAGATTGTCAGATCCTTTATATACTACTCAAAGATCATAATCCCAAACAATGTAGGACATTCTAATAGACCTCCTCGAGATGTGGGTGGGAAACGTCAAACGGGAAACAGCCCAAGCCCAACATCTCAGAAATACAACAAAACATGCCACTTATATGGGCCACATAGGTGGGAAACCATTTTTGTGGAAATTTGCTTGTTGGGCCAACCTTGAGTTATGATACCATATTAGGAATATAGCCTAACTTAACCCAAAAGCTAGCTCTAAACGTGTTTCTATTTCAGAATTAACTACCATATAAGCGGAAGGAAAGAAAAAGATTTTGTATGTTTGCCCAAGCAACTGAAACATCGACCATGTCTACAAAGATACAATATCGGAAACATATCCTCGTAACCAACAAATTCAACCATCTAATGGATTCCGAAAACCTATCTTTTTTTTTTTTCCAACTACTTATATTAATTATCCCAAATGGGCTTAACGATGGTGGGTATTACACGGGCCCATCAGCCCAAAAAGGAAGAAGCAAACCGAAACAGCACCAGATCGGAGATCTGCCTTGGGTGGAATTCGGCAGCACCGGCACCACCTCCAAGCTCCGGCGATAACAAGAGGCCCTTATTTGCTACTCCGCAGTGACTCAAGCGACATGGCCGGAGTTATCGATTCCCGCCACAAACCCGAAGTCAACGACGGAGCCGACCTGAAACTCCTCTCCCGAAGGATCTGCCGCTAATCATCTCGACAAGCAGTGATTCCCACCAATTCGCCTTCGACTTCCGCCGCTAGTCGTAGCAGCACCTCCGACAACAGAGCCGTGAGCTTCCTCATGTCCCCTCCTCCGGCGTCCTCAAACCAGTGGTGGTATGACTAGAAGAATACTCGAGATCGTCGGGAAGATCGCCACAACCAGCATCGGAGACGGACCAACTCCACCTCATCACCGCCGAAGAACCAAAACCATCACCAACAGATTAACCTGCATGCCCCAGCCATCGGCGATGAAGATCTGAAAACGATAAAGAAAAACTTTGCTTCTTTTAGATCTACTTTTTGGGAGAGAGAAGAGAGTGTTTTCAAGGAACGATTGTCCTTTTCTTCTTTTCCGAAAACCTATCTTAAATACTTAATATATAAGATTTTAGATCATACTTTAGTTACGAAAGATGTTCAATAATTTATGAAAGAGGTAAGGAAGGTTAAATATGTATAATTATATTAAACAATTTAGTTATTAAATGTATGATATCAGATATAAATTTTTACAAATGTAGATATTTAGTTTTATTTTATATTTTGCTTCTCAATTAATATATAAAGGTTATAAAAAACGGTAGAAAAATATGAACATTGTACCCCAAAAAATAAGATCGCATTGTGTTACAGTTCAATTTCACGAATTTTTTTTTTCTAAAAAATAATCTATAAAAAAAAATTACATTGGTTTAATTTTTTTCATCTGTTTAATATCTTTTTCATCTGTTTAATATCTTTTTTCATCTGTTACAACAATAATTAACTTGTTATAAATGGACACAAGTGTTAAAAATGGGTAACACGGTCACTACCACATTTGGTTTTAGTATCCTTGGAACATCGGTGGTGGTGGTGATGCATATTGGAATCCAATGTGTGGTGGTAAGACGAAATCACCGTCGTCATCATCGTCGTTGTTTTCCGGTGGTGGAACAGCTGTGTCGGAGGGCGGAGAAGATGACGGTGATGATGGAGTGGCGGGTGATTGTTCTGGTGCTTCACCTTCTTCTGATTGTTTTGGTGATGAGACCGGTTCGTTTGATGGTATTGGTGACTGGTCCGGTTTAGAATTTGGTGTTGGGGCATGAACCGGTTCAAGAATTGGCGTTGGAGCTTGACTTGGTGATTGGAATGATTCTGGTGATGGACTTGGTGCTTGGGATGTTTCAGATGATTTGGTTGGGGCTTGAACCGGTTCAAGAATTGGTGTTGGAGCTTCAATTGGTGATGAAATTAGTGATTGGTTCGATTCAGATGATGGAGTTGGTACTTGGGATGTTTCAGAGGATTTGGTTGGGGCTTGAACTGGTGTTGGAGCTTGAATTGGTGACAAAGATGGTGCTTGATATGATTCTGATGATGGAGTTGGCACTTGGGTTGTTTCAGAAGATGGGGTTGGGGCTTGAATCGGTGTGGAGCTCTCACTGGTGGTTGAGTTGTACTAT